GAGAGAGAGAGAGAGAGAGAGAGAGAGAGAGAGAGAGAGAGAGAGAGAGAGAGAGAACTAACTACGACCTCCTCTGCCCACCACCATCAAGTGTACTATCTGTCCTGATGCGTTTCATATCTTCCGACCAGTTTCACGACTGATCCCCGCCATTGGGACCAATAAGAAAAAGGAGAGCGCGCGTGCGCGCGCGCACCTAACTAACTATGGGCCTCCCCCCCCACTCGATCAAGTGTAGTATCTGCGTCCGTCAGTTTCATATCCGATCCGCTCTCCCCAAACGATCAAGCGTAGTAACTGCTCTGTTCAGTTTCATATCTGATCCGTGGTCCATCGGAAAAAAAAAGCACGCACGCGCGCGCGCGCGAGAGAGAGAGAGAGAGAACCTAACCTAACTAACTATGCTCCTTCCCCCCCCCCCCACGATCAAGTGTATTATCTGCTTCGATCAGTCTCATATCGATCCTTCCCCCCACACGATCAAGCATAGTATCTGCTCCGTTCCATTTCATATCTGATCCGTGGTCCATCGAAGAGAGAGAGAGAGAGAGAGAGAGAGCGAGAGAGAGAGAGAGAGAGAACCGAACTATGCTTCTTGCTCCATCCCCCCCAACGATCAAGTGTAGTATCTGCTTCGATCAGATTCGTATCCGATCCTCTCCCCGCACGATCAAGCGTATTGTCTGCTCCGTTCGGTTTCATATCTGATCCGTGGTCTATCAAGACCTTTTTTTTTTTTTTTTAAGGAAAAAAAAGCACGCGCAAGAGAGAGANATTGTCTGCTCCGTTCGGTTTCATATCTGATCCGTGGTCTATCAAGACCTTTTTTTTTTTTTTTTAAGGAAAAAAAAGCACGCGCAAGAGAGAGAGAGGGAGAGAGAGATTGTCTGCTCCGTTCGGTTTCATATCTGATCCGTGGTCTATCAAGACCTTTTTTTTTTTAAAAAAAGAAAAAAAAAACATGCGCAAGAGAGAGGGAGAGATAGATAGATAGAGAGAGAGAGAGAACCCAGCTACACGCCTACCCCCCTGCAACAGAAGCACGATCAAGTGTACCTCCAGCAGACACACGATCAAGTGTAGTATTTACTTCGATCAGTTTCATACCGGATCCTCTCCCCGCACGATCAAGCGTAGTATTTGCTCCGTTCGCTTTCACATCTGATCCAGACCGTGTTTTATTTAAAAAAAAAAGGAAAAAAAAGCACGTGCGCACGTGCGCGCAAGACACAGAGAGAGAGAGAGAGAGAGAGAGAGAGAGAGAGAGAGAGAGAGAGAGAGAGAGAGAGAGAACCCAACTACGTGGCTCTCCCCCTCCAACAGAAACACGATCAAGTGTAGTATCTGCTTCGATCAGTTTCATATCCGATCCTCTCTCCCTGCACGAGCAAGCGTAGTATCTGCTCCGTTCGGTTTAATATCTGATCCGTGGTCTATCGAGACCGTTTTTTATTTTAAAAAAGAAAAAAAAAAGCATGCGAGCACGTGCGTGCAAGACACACAGAGAGACACAGAGAGAGAGAGAGAGAGAGAGAACCCAACTACGCTCCTCCCCCCCTCCAACAGAAACACGATCAAGTGTAGTATCTGCTTCCATCAGTTTCATATCCGATCCTCTCTCCCCACACGATCTGCTTCGGTTTCATATCTGATCCGTGTCCATCAAGACCTTTTTAAATTAAAAAAAAGAAAAGCACCCGAGCACGCGTTTGCGAGAGAGAGAGAGAGAGAGAGAGAGAGAGAGAGAGAGAGAGAATCCAGTCTCGCTCCCCCCCCCACCTCACACACACACTATCAAGTGTGGTATCTGCTTCGATCAGTTTCATATCCGATCTTCTCACATCATCAAACCGTAGTATCTGCTCCGTTCAGGATCAGCGAGAGAGAGAGACCCACAGA